ATTTGTTCAAACCCTGAATAAAAAGCTACACAAACAGAGCTTAGGTGTAACACATTTCTCGAACAAGGTTATTCTATATCATATACTTGACAAAGCTGAGTGGATTTTTTTCCCCCCTAACAACACATTGCCCTTTTAGGGTTTTTTCTTTCTACCTACTGTATTTCTAGTCTTCTTGCCCATCCGTCTGATCTCTTTCCCTGCTCATTTTCAATCTTCTCATTTTTAATCCTGCTCACTAGCACCCTATCTGAGGAGTTTCGGTCTTCCTTGCTGCCCTGGCAACTGTTATAGCCATGGTTGAGCTTGGCTCCCACTGGCCAACAGAAGGAGCTAGATAATGACTAGATACCACAGTACAGTGCACTTCTGGTTTTTGGAAGGCAAGGGCATGTGCAGCTGGCAAAATTCTGGTTTCCAGAAGGCACACCATGATCCTAATTGATGCTGCTCTCCATCCAGGCTGTGGGGCTCCATGATGAAGAAGGTAAACCCTCTAAAGTTCCCAAAGTTTTTTTAAGTGTATCAGAATCCGCAAGGCTGATGGGCTTAGGACTCTGGATTTTCATAGGGAGCCTCAGGTGACCGAGTTATTTTCATCCATCCTCTTATGTTTACACGTAGTGTGTTGCTGTTCACACATCTGTTTGCCAGCTTGAGAAAGGGTGGTGTTTCAACTATTAGCATTACGCAAATAATAAAACAAAATGGCTAACAGCAAGTAAAAAGTCACCAGTATGATGCATCAGACAAGGTCAGTAAATCTAATGTTAGAATAAGCAGCAGATTATTTATAATACAGTGCCTAAAAGATAAGTATTTATAATACAGTGCCTAAAAGATAAGTAGAAAATGTATCCAAAAGAAACAATTTGCATTTGTCCTACCTGGCTTAGAACTGAGATGTCAGTAGAGATGCACATAGGACGCTGCCAAGATTAAAGCATAACCCAGTTTACCCATTAGGAAAGTTATACAGGTGATATGACAGTCATACAAGCAGTTGTTCTATTGGACGTTCTTTTTTACTCTACCGCTTGCATTCCTACTCATATTTTTCTCTTTCTGGACAAGTATCGTGCCAAGAGGATAATAAAAATCTATGATTAGTGCACACAATGAAAACTGGAGACTCGCTGAGTCACTGACCTGGAAGATAAGAAATGTTCATTGTACGGCACGGCAGGAATTTGACATGAGTGCAGTAAACATGTTGAAGATACAGTTTTCTTTCTCTTGGATCTTGTTCAGTCACTGTTTTCAGCAGCTACCAAGGCACAGTGCTAGGCAACTGAAAGCTCCTAGAACTCATTTTTAACTGGAACAAAGTAAAGCTACATTCACATCTCAACATTCTTCCTGTGGTGCAGTGCAGTGCGTTTTAGATGCATTTTTCTAAAACCAGCACAAAGATTTAGCAAGCGGGATTTTTTAAGAAACTGCGCTAAAATATATATTTTCAGGTGGTGCAGTGTTGCATCTTCATGCCATACCAGTCATAGTCAACCTTTTTTATTCACGGCACCCTTTAAAAGTATGCAAAATCTTGAGGTACCCCTGTCTAAAATGTCATATAGATTTTAAGGAGGTTCCCATGCAAAAACACCCCCAAAAAGTGGGTTTTCCCCTTCACATCGAAGTGCCCCCTTCAAATCAAGAGTCCCCCCTTTACATTAGAGGCGCACTTTCATATCAGAGTTCCCCCCTTTTCACATCAGTCTTCATTCCCCCCTTCATCTAACCGTCCCACTGCCACAAACTTTTGAGGTACCCCTGAGGAGGCCAGGAGGCACACCATTGTGCCATCTAACCCTGGTTAAGAAAGGCTGATCTAAAAGGTGTGTTTTGCTGGAAACCACGCAACAGATGCAACAAACAGAATGTCTTTTTAAGGCTGGGTTCACACCTAGGTGACAGGGTCATTGCGCTTTTCTGCGTATGTTTTTGTTGCACGTTTTTATGCACTTTTTTACGTGCGTTTTAACCGCATAAATCAGATCGCGTGTTTTTGTGAGCAGATTGTAGCTACCGTAATTGACATGAATGAGCAAATGTGTGTAGCACGTGCACGAACACACAGCAAATGGGGTCTATGGGGCCAAAACGAGCTGTAATATGCCCCAAAAAAAGCTCATTTACTTTTTCCAGCGACAGGCGTTTTTCTTATTGTAAAAAAACCTCAAATGTGAACAGGACCATAGACATGAATGGGATTTTGTTTTTGGGCATATTTTTTAGCGGTTTTTTTAAGGGCAGAAAAAGTGCTACAAAATCCACAAGTCAAGTCAAATTCCTTGGCCATCTGGAGCAGATTTTATTGCTCCTCATTCCTATATTACTAAGATTAGTAAGATGCATTTTGATTGCAACAGTGCCAAGTACTGCTCATCTTTCACATGAACCTAAAGACCGAGCCTACTTTGCATCCTACTTTGTGACTTTAAGAAGCAATAAGGAGCTCATGACCTAAACCACACTCAGATCTGGTCATTTGGTAACATCCATGTTGAGGGTCACCCCAGACTGTTGGAAGATCTCTGTGGGCATGTAATGCACTTTATTTTGCACTCCAAGACCTAATTTGTCTGTTATTTCAACATTTGTTATTCACTGTAGACATTAATTCTCAATTTGTCTATGAGAAAGGCGACATCATTTGTATAGTTACATCCCAAAGTTGCTGTACCTATAAAACCGATCACCCGCCACACCCAACACCACAGCACGCAATATGAATATAAATTCAATTCAAGGTTTAATAGTTGCTGAGTGATGATGATAATAAATGGTAACTGATGACTGATCATAATGAATAATAAACATTGTACATGAATACAGTATTTGAAAGATTAGCATCTCTGATATTCCTGCTAGACGATCACATTATAAATAACTATAACATGTTTAGGGTGGAGATTTGCTAGCTGAGATATATACCAGCAGCAAATATTTCTAAACCTCACCACACACACACACACACACACACACACACATTACAATCTGATTGTACAATCTCCTTCAGATCTACCAACAAGTATGTGGCACAGGACCTTGCCTGATTAGATAGATTAGGTATGTCTTCAAATTACATAGTTCTGTTAGATCTAATTCAATTGTACAGTGATTGCATGGTCAGATTGTAATGTGTATGGTGAGCCTAACTATTTTTATATAAAGATCTGTTGCTGGCTGAAAAGGTGCATCTATAGTTATTACACAGTCTGAGCAATTACAAATCACTGTGACATGGTCATTGGTAGGGGCACTGGATAACATGCGCAGCTACTGACCTAGCAATTTAGCCAGCTTTAAGTATTACCTGACCTGTACGCTGAGCATTGTTCTCTGCAGGGTTTAGGGAGGTAAGTGTATCCTGTAAATCGGGGGTGCACAAATTACTATGGCATTCACGAGCCACTCTGTCTAATTCAGGAGCCAACAGGATTTTTTGGGGAGCCAATGCCATTGACAACTATGAGAGAAAACATCAAATGTTTGGTGCCACTTGTCATTTGTAGGGATCATTCAATACCAACCCTACTGTAAATTATACTTACCTTTCTTTTGTCCTTTGCTGGATACATAAGAGTGAAATCTCTGTTCCCTCCACAATTCAGTCACTGTCAGCACACTTCTGATCACAGCTCTCTGCTCTGCATAAAGCTGGCCACACACCTTACAATTTATCTGGAGGATTTTCTGTGGACAGATGGAAAAGGTGCAACAGATTCCTCCATCTACACTTAACTGTGTGTATGGAGTAATCTCCACCTGGGCCAATCTGTTGCACTTTTTCCATCTGACCACAGAAAATCTGCAGATAATTGTAAGGTGTATGGGCACCTTTATATGGGAAAAATTATCCCCAGCGTGATTTTTGGGAACGGCTACTTCAGTTAAAAAACAGCGTTGTAACTGGTAAATTGCGGGGCGAGTGAAGATTTTTCTGCAGCATTCCAAAGAAGGATACAGAGAGAAAAAGAACACTTCCCTCTTCAAAAGCAGAAAAGCTTTGTGGGGTTCTCCTTTAATCTTGCCAAACAGCAGTTATGAGGCAGATAAGATATTCACCATAGGATCACTATTACATACTCTGCTGCTTAAGGTGCCCATACACTGTACGATCGTACGAGAATCGCGGGAAATCCCGCGATCGTAAGATAATCGCAAAGTGTATGGAAGGTGTGCAACCGTTTCCACTGTGCGGTCGCACGTCTTCCGTCGAACAAGCAGGCTTGAAAACCCGCCGAGAATCGTACGATTCTCGGCGGGTTAGGGGCCTGCTTTTTCGACAACGGACGAACGGGCCGGTGTGCGCACGCGCACACAGCCCGTTTGCAGTCATCGGAAGCCCGCCCCTCATTGCAGTCATCACAAGCCCGCCCCTCGGGGGGGGCGGGCTTGCGATGATCGCAAGTACAATCTGCCTGTCCAAGATGGGCAGATCGTACGAGCTTTTAATTAGCTTACAACCCTCGCAAGACAAAAGTCTTGCGAGGGTTGTAAGGTGTATGGGCACCTTTAGAAGAAGCCATACACCAGTACCAGACTTCTTGATTGTGTGTGAAAATCTATCTCAGATCTCTGCAAACCTGTCACAGATGTCTGCTCAGGATTGCAGGTACAAAGGTCACAAATACACACAAAACCTGCCAATAATTCTTCCATGAATGAGAGGCCGCTGGATTGGCAATAGAAATGCACCTGGTTTTGTTAGTAGCTTTGAAAAAAAGATTTACTTCTTTTCCTATGCAAAAGCAAAAAAAATAATTTTAGAGGAGGAGGCAGGCATGTGACATCATCTCTCCTCCAATCACAGAATGTCTTGTATTCTGCAAGACATTTTCTGAATGGAGAATAGTGAGAAGGGGGCGGGTGTCGCGACTGTGCCCGGAATCTGGGTGTTGTGTGCAGGGGGAGGCATGCAGCAAGATGAGATTTTTATACTTTAGTGCCGTCCTCCGCACATAACTCATTTTAATGATAATTTACACACCCAGTGCATGTGTAAACTGTCATTTTGCCTGGAGTGTGTAAATTGAAGCAAGGCAAGCTTGTGGCTTGTCATTTATCCCCTGTCCACACCTGGTTCTGACCATTGCTTTCTGGATTGACAGCCCTACGTTTGTGGTTGAAACCCTTCCACTGTGAGCTGCAGTGTCTGGGTGGGGTGCATGTGAGACACACATGGAGGATTTACCTCTGTCAAGGAAGGTGAGAAACGTTTTTTTATTTATTTTGTAAGGCTTGTGCATCATAAAGTAACTGAAGTTGGTAGATGTTTAGACTGGCATGAAAAAGCTATCAGTTGAACTTTAGTCTATAAAGTAACTCCTAACAGGCATACACAATAGTTGCCCGTCAGCATGCACCTATGCCTTGCCCACCCCAAAGCACATTTCTAAATTCTATAAGTGAATAGTGATAAGCTTTTGCATCTAATTCCAAAAATACATTTTCATTTCTCTTCCCAATTGTATCTTTGTTACAGCAATACTCCAGCCATTATTTTTTAAATTAGGGATGTACCGATAACATTGTTTCTAGACCAAGTACCAATAGTTGTCCTCACAGATACCAGTTACCGATACCTTTTCTTTAGTGTCCTGTGACAGTTTTTCTAAAACAGTACATACTAATGATTTCAGGACAGTGGTGGAGGGCCAGAGCCAGGTCCCAGCTGCAACCCTGGTAGTTCTCGGGCAAATGCCAAGTATCGGCACTGGTATCTGTGCATCCCTACTAGCACCATGTCTTTATAGTGTAGAGACCCACATAGGCAGAGTAAGAACATGCAAAGTCTATGAAGATATAATCTAAACCTGGATCTCAGTGCTGTAAGGCAGAAGAGCTAACCATTGTGCTGTCTAAAACATTTCCATACATTTCAGATATGAAGTATTGATCCTGCTTGTACTTTCTCATCAGGTAAGGTATTCTGCAGTTAATCTGGAAAAGCATGGCTCCTGACATGTCCTGGCATTTGTCTTTCAAGCTGTCTTCATTACTACATAGTCACTGAGCTGGAATAATCATGTACATATTGGTGTTCAGGCACCTTGTATGCTTGTTACAGGCTTTGTTAAAGCTGAACTCTGGGCATATATGAAAGACACACATGAATGCAGGTCATTATTATAGTACATCATCAATAGTATTTTTTTTTTATACAAGCAGTGTAAGTACTTGAATTTGGTCTGGAATCAGCCTCTTTCAATCCTTGTACTGCAGGGCTAGAGTGTGAGAGGAAGAAACAGTACAAGGAACCAATCAGGTCATTGGATTACAATAAGCATGCTGATACAAAGTGAAAGCAAAGTGACAGAAAGATGAGCTCTTCATTGAGCTGCTTCTCTATTCAATGTCCAGAATGAACAGGTTAAGAAGAAGTGGGTTGAATGATGCTGCTCATCAGAATGAGGACATCCAACGACAGAAAAAAGTACTGCGGGGGAAAACTCTACCGAAGGTGAATATTGTAGCAAAAAAGTGGGTTTTGTTATTTTATCTTTTATTGGGCTGCTTATTATTATTTTGATCTTTGTGGCTGGAGTTCTGCTTTACCTAATAAAGGATAAGGGTGAAAGCTCAGTAGAATGCTTAAAAAACAGTAATTGTAAATCCCATATTTATGACAGTCTCCTTTTAAAGTAGCTTCATGATGGTGCATGTCACTGCTTACATTGACTCAATGCAAGAGACAACAAAGGTCAGTAGTACTGGTAAGTGGTAACTGACCTTCTGTAGTTACAGAGCTGTGGAAACATACAGAGGGACATTGATCAAAAATGGAGCAAACAGAATCTAGAGCAGCTATGCATGAAAACCAATCAGCTTCTCTCTTTCATTTTCAAAGGTAAACGTAACAAACTGAAGAGAGAAGCTGATTGGTTACTATGCATAACTGCTCCAGATAATGTCTGCTCCTCATAGTAATCATCAGCTGAACAAATGAGCTGTAATTTTGTTTTGATCCTAACAAGCCATCCTGTTTTCACTATACAATATTGTTCATGGACAAGTAAACATATTCTTGTGCTTTCATGTGACCATGCCCCTACTGCAGAAAGGCTGGGGAGGAAGAAAAGTGACAGTGTTTGGTAAAATGATTAATCATTTGTGTCACATCTTTAGAAAAGAGAGCATGAACCACAAATTACAGCACTAATTTGTAAACTGCAGCGTATGGACGACTGTAATAACCATTTTTATGACGTTATTGCAGTGTCACACCCAGGTTTTCAGCATGTAAAATCATTAGCTAAAAACAGACTTGTTTGTTTCACTAATGGAAAATGTACCAAGTTGAAGAAACAACCTCATTGAGATAACACAGGTTACCAGTGTAACACGCGGTCACTGCAATGCGGGTTCCATTCTGTGCTGACTGTTCAGATATAATATCCAGCATGTAGATGACAGCCAGCTTTATTAGTTAAAGGAGAACTATGAGGTGGGTGCTTTTCACTCAGCCTCATAATCTGAGCCGACCTGTGACAATGAAACTGTCACAGGTCGGCTCAGTAGATCGGGAAGTGAGCGAACACATACACTTCTCGATCCCGTCACTGCAGAGAGCCGTGACAGGGGAGTGACTGGATTCCCCCCTACGATCCTCCAGCGCTGACTGGCGGAATGGACGGGGGAGGGGCGGGTACAGCTGGCTCTGCCTCTAGACAGGCAGAGCCAGCTGTCACTCACGCAGCTGGGCGTATCCCGGCATAATTGTCGGGATCCGTTTCAGCTGCGGCGTCTCAGTATACCGCGAGCTGCAGCTAGCGGTATACTGAGCTTTGGGTAACGGGAGGACGCTAGTTTGTGTCCTCCCATTACCCTTCAGAGAACTATGGGGAAAAGCCCTAACCCCATAGTTGTCCTTTAATGTAGACAGTAGCCTTAAAAGTACAGGCACTAAACGTAATTAGATGACAGATGACATTAAACCGAACGTCTACTATAACAGAAATAAATACATTTGGGAGGAGCCCTTATTTAAAAAAGGCCGGGCACTTTAAAAATATCCTCACTTGACAACCAGTTTGATGCAAGTTTTTCATGGAAACCCGTAACACCAGTAACAAACCTAGGCAATCGAGACTGAACATATGATAAAAAAAATGTGTGCCATAACTATCAGTAGATGCAGAGCTACAGACAGCCAAAATGATAAGCAAACGTCCCTATTATTTAGATGTCATTTACCAAATAGGGAGTCTTGTGAAGGGCATGGTAAAGCAACAGAAAAGATAGATATTTGCATGGCATACCAGCTGTGTACATGTATTGATCTACAATTTGGTTTCACATGTGGTTTCCACTGAGGGTTAGTTCACACCATATGCAGTGCGTTCCGGTCCGATTCTGGCCGGAACACACTGCCTCGCATTGTGGTCGGCTCACTTTTTTGCCGGGCTGGAGACGAATGCACTGTATATGGTGTGAACTAACCCTTAAGGTAGCCCATCATAGGTTTACATTAGGTTTTCCTACTATACATGGTTAGGCAAACATCTTTCAGCCACTGACACTTATATGAGATCCTAATCCATATTCGACATATATTGCCAAACATGGATAAACACTGAGATGAGAGCCAAACTCATTATTCTAGTACTTTTGTGAGTGAAAACAGAAGCATACCAAATCTCAGCCTGCTGGGTTTGCAGCTAACAGGCTAAATAATAATTCTGTTCGAAGCTCATTAAGGGCTTTGTAACAGCTCGTTAAATCTGCTACATCTTGCTGAATCTTCACGTAGTGCTTTGGGCCCTAATTTTTTTCCCCAAAAGATGAGTATCCACCTCAACAGATGTGAGGCAGAGGACTAGAGAGGCTAAGCAGTTGTTTAATGGGAGCCCATTAGGGCAATATGACAGCTGACTTGGTGTACATTTTCCTCTGGCTACACTACATAGTGAGGCACATACTTGTTCCAGCTCAGAGACTTATGGGTAGATAAGCCAGGGTAAGTATGGTAGGAATGGAGAATGAACCCAGCCCACATATTCTCTCCTCACAGGTTTCTTTTAAAGAACAAAATAACAAAGGCACCTTTAGAAATGTTAAATAATGACAATCTACAAACACACACTTCTAGATAATTGCCGGCTTTGTATTCTTTGCATACCTTACTTTTCTTTTCCTCCCCAGTCTTATGACAGTGGCCATTTTAACGAAGGGCAGGATATTAGATCTCTCTTTACTCCCTAGAACTCGGACACATGTGACTAGGACATCATCTGAGGGGAGGAAAATGCCTTTCCCTGCGATCTCATGAGACTACAGATGAGATTTCCCAGCAATGCTCTGCTGATGTAACCTTCCCAGAATGCAATGCTTGGGCACATAACATAATTTGTGTCAAAGAGAACCAGAAAGTAGAAAAACCAGAAATTGTAAGTATAATGTAAACATGTTTGTTTAGCTGATGAATGGAAGATGATTTCATATCAGCATGCAGAGCTGTACTGTATGCTGGTGTGATTTTTAATCAAAGGGGTAAAGGTTCACTTCAAAGCTTATAACAGGGAGTAGGTTTGCAGCTGCAAAAAAAACCAAATTGACTGCAAAATGGCCTTTTAAGTTCCCATGCACACGGCTACATGCTGCAAGAACATTAAAGAACATCTCTGGGCAGTTAAAACATGAACCCTTGGTAAACGCCGCTAGGGCGTTGATCCAGAGACATTGGAACTCTCAGGTGATTCCAACCCTGGGGTAATGGACCGCGGAAATGTGCCGTCTAATGAGATCTGAGGAGCTGATTGCCGAGTGGCTGGACAGGTCTGAGTCATTCCAGTCCAGATGGAGGCCATGGCTAATGTTTATGGATGAGTTTAGGACAATGACATAAATGCATGATCTGCTCTACTTGACCACGTAATCATCCTCTACCCCCCCCCCCCCCATGTCCACTTGTCTTGTCGTGTTGTGAGTCAATTGTTATGTTGTTTTTGCAAGGCGCTTTCGCAGGATTTCTTGTTTCTAACCTGATGCTGAAGACCCAGTTCCTCACCCGACTCAACAGCGTTGACCCCGCTCGGGGGGGGCTTTAGCAGTCTGAGACCCTCATGGCAGGGACAAGACTTTGGGCGGAGGCACGGCTCGAATCTGGGCACAATGTCATATACATTGCTGATATGGTTGTTATTATTTACAGCTATGCTATTATTCTCAAGGATGCTCACCTGACGCTGCCTTTGTATGTTGTTTTAATTTTCTGTCTGTGAAAAACTCAATAAAAAATATTTATGTTAAAAAAAATGAACCCTTGTAGTGGGGCTACCTCCACACTGCAAGGGTTACATTCTCATGTTGGTCTATGGTCTAAAATAAAGAAATAATATATTCACCTGATCCTCGGTCCCGCCTGGCTGCTTGACCAGTCCCCAAAGCCTCTTCTACCTTCCGGCAGTCTAGGGACCCCTTGATGTCATTGCATCCATTCACTTGCATTGGATATGAGGATGCCGAGGTACATTCCACAATCAGAGAGGGGGGGAGAGGTGACCAGTCATCGCTGTGGGACCAAGGATCGGGTGAATATATCTTTTTTATTTTAGACACTAGACCAAAAAGAGCACTTAACCCTTGCAATGCAGGGGGTAGCCCCACTGCAAGGGTTAATTTTTGTAACTGCCCGGATTTCTTCTTTAAGTAATGTTGCAACTGAGAGCTAGAAATGTGCATTTGTGCATAGTTATAGCTCTCAGAACCTGCTGCCACACTGACAAATTAGTCACAGAATTATAGTCAAGTTACCTGAGCATCCTGATGCTACCAAATTTAACCTAGGCACTGAAGCGTCAATCACCTCTGGTCACAGAAGCGTTGGAGGTGAAAGCTCCCTTTTCAGACAATTGGCAAACATTTACTGGAAAAAGAGACCAATCCGGAAAGGCAACTGAAACAAATTAGTTGCCCTTCATAACATTACATTCTGAGGAACTACATGTACCAGAATGCTGTTCTACTGTATTCTCAACTTAAACTACCAAAGAACTATAAATCCTAGATTCCCAGGTACTTTACTTTTTGGTCCAGGCCCCCCAACATGTGAAGTATTAGAAGCTCCAGCATAGTCTTTTATCCTTCTTCATGTGTTCTGGATTGCTGAATAGGCCAGCTTGTAGCCCTGCAGCTATAGCTCCCCCATGTCACTTATGCATAAGCTATCGTACAGGTTGTACATATGTGCTGGTCTGTCTATTAGTTACCTTCCTTCTTGGAGTTATACTGTAAATCCCTACAAATAATGCCCCAAAATAGTTGTACAGCCCAATGATATGTGTGATTCGCAATCCAAGGAGTGCTGCTTTTATTTTCAGCTCAGGAGGCATATCTGGCACTCCTTTTAAAAGCATATATTCCTTGTATATGACTACCTCCATCTCTGCTGTGTTTAGGCCCAACATCCGCACAACAATAGTTTCAAGTGGAATTCCTTTTTAACAGACATACGAGCTTAGGGGACAGCAATCTAGTTTAGAAAGTCATTTTAGTGCATAAAGAAGACTTAAAAATGTAACCTTTGCAGTGCAGCTACCCCCATTCTACAAAAGGTTAACTGCTAATTTTTGTTTAGGGGCTGGAATACAGATGATGATCCTCAGTCCTGTGGCAGCCAGCATTCACCTCTTGCCCCTCCACTCTGGCTGTGGAATGTCCCTTGGTGTCCTCACGTCTAATGGAGGTGAATAGACCGGCATTAGACGTAATGATGTCACAGGTCCTTAGACCACCAGAGCCCAAGGGAGAAAAGGCTGCAGGGTAGGGTTGCCACCTGTCCAGGATTCACCCGAACAGTTCGGGTTTTGAATGCTGTGTTCGGGTTTCATGGCAGCAGAAACCCAGACACAAGATGTCAGGCAGACAGGGGCAACCAAAATTAAGATAGGCGCTACTGGCCCCCCACTGAAAATAGTCTCACCTGTAATATTTGCATATGAGTGGGTGGCGCTATTTAGATATGAATAAGCCACGACTAATTTTCCCCAAAAATTGTCTGTGCATCTCTAGAGTGTTCGGGTTTCGCTTGAAGAAAAGGTGGCAACCCTACTGCAGGGACCGGCCTCATTTTATCCAGCCGCTAGACCAGAACGAGGAGTCAACCCTTGCAGTGCAGGGGTAACCCCGCTGCAAGGGTTCACTTTGATCATTCCTGGTGTTCCTCTTTATTCTCACATTATTGTATTTATGCCTAGAAATGGTGTCATGTAACAGCATGGTATGGTAAACTATAGATTAGCAAGAGCCAGTCTCACTCTTGCTTGATTTAATTCCCACCTGAGAATCCATATGGAAATCCCATATCATTCTCACATGACAGTGGCCCCCTTCCAACCACAAAACATACCAGTACGTTAATTGGCTTCCCTCCAAACCTGGCCCCACAGAGTGTGCTTGTGTCTGTAATATTACTCTTGTTGTGACAGTACAGAGTAAGCTCCTTTATGGCCAGGGATATAGCCTATATACGTTGTATAGGTGATGGCACCAAATCACAAAAATAAAAATGCCCTGCTTATAAAAGTATCACAGGCTAGTTACTCAAGTACAGCAGAAGTCTGCAGTAGATACAGTGGTACCTTGGTTCACAAACGCTTCTGTTCGGGAACAATTCGGTTCGCGAACAGGAAGTTCGGCAAAGTTTTGCTTCCGTTCACGAACTCCGCATCGGGTGACGAACACAACCGCAGCCATCTTCCCTGCTCTGACACATGGTCGTGGCTTCCTCTAGTCGCGATCGCGGTCTGATCACAGTTTGATTTGGTTCGTGACCAGAATAGTGGAACGGATTAAGTTCGTGAACCGAGGTACCACTGTATATACATACATACATACATACATACAGGTGGTATAAACACCTAAATGCATACTGGCCATGCACTATATACCATTCATACATGTACTACATGAAACCATTCTGAATGGCACCCAAACACACCTTCTAAATGCACTTACGTTCCAGTGCAGCACAACATGTGATTTTTTTTGGTGCGTTAGGCAGCCCAATTAAACAAAGGATCTGTCTTACAGCAATGTGCATTAAGACACGTGCGCTAACAGTGAGAACAGGGCATTAGGGACCAAGGTGTGCTTTCCAGATATCTTTCCAGAGTCTAGGTGGTCTATTCACGAAGCAGCCGAAGCATCTAGCCGTAGCTTCGGCTGATTCTTCAGCTAGCTTCGGCCCCAGGACCCCTTTGGTTCAGTAGAGCACATAAGAGTAGATTCACTATAGCCCGTACAGCTCCCGAAACTTGGCCGAACGGCTCAGTCGAACCGAAGGCATATGCCTCGGCTCGACTGAGCTGCGCTGAAAGCCGAAGCTGGCGGAATGGCCGGCCGACAGCCTGCTTTTGACAGCTGGGCGGAGCCAGCCGTCATCTCATGGCTGGCTCCGGCCACTTGCAGAAAGATCAGCGTCCCTGGTTACAATCTAACCAGGGACACTGATCTCCAGACAGCCCAACTCTCCCGGGCACTCTGGGAGTCTCCCGCTCCCGGCCGCCCTGGAGAGAAACACTTTTTCCAAGAAAGGTTTACTCTGCTCTAGCAGAGTAAACCTTTCCCTGCTTTTTCTTTTTTTTTATTCTGACATCCGAGCTGTTGGCTGCCGTCAGAATAAAAAAAAAAATTTTCACCACAGGAATGCATTGCTAGATTCCTAGATTATTTCAATTTGCAATAGCCAATAGCAAACTCGCTATTGCACCCACCCACTGCTGCTATCAATCAGCAGAGGGAACCTGCAGTTTTCCATCAGGTCCCCTCTAGTGATTGACAGCAGCAGAGGGCGGGTGCAATAGCTAGTTTGCTATCGCAAATTGAAATAGCCAATAGGAATCTAGCAATGCATTCCTATGGCAAAAATTATTATTTATTTATTTTTGACGGCAGCAGAACCGCTGGCCAATAGAACATTTTTCATTTATTTTTTTGTACTTTAACTATTTTTCTGTTCTGCTCGGTCCCACAGAGGGACCGAGCAGAACAGCCGAGCCGAATGCCGCTCAGCAGCGAGTAGCCTGCCAGAGGTTCAGCTTAGCAGATCCAGATGGTGGATCGGCTGAGTCGAGCTCCTTCTGCAGTTCGTGTTGGCCGAACATGCCGAGCATGTTCGGCCGACCCGAAGCCACCCGATGTACGGCTGATTTCAGCCGCTATACGGCTGAAATCAGCATTACAAGCGTGAAGTGACTAGCCGAACAGGCTTCAGGTCGGTCGTTCACTCGGCTTCCTACAGCAGCTTAGTGATTAGACCCCTAGAAAACATGACCTCTTTGTAGATATGGAAAACATTTTTTCCAGTTTTGTCCAATTTTCTATTCATAATAAAATAAGCCTGGTATTTATTAAAACAATTTATCATATTGAAG